GTGCGCCTCTTACACTTGGCGCCATCTGCTTGCTGCTTGCAGTCGCACCTCCTCCTTTCCTGCGGATGTACAGGGGGTGATGGTGTACCTTGTCGGCAAGCTTTCGTCCCTCAATTTTCAGGCACATGCGGTTGGGGACAGGGCGGTTTTGGACGCAGTGCATGCGTTTGCAGCAGCACGGCTGTGCAGGCTGGCCCTGAAGCCACTTTGAGCGGCGTGGCCTCAAAAGTTGTAAACAAAGTCAGGGCATGTCAGGGCCATGCGCTGCTTGTGGAGCTGAGGAGAGCAAGTGGAAATGGCCCGGCAAATTTCCCACCCGGCCAAGGACTTAGGACCCAACGCCTATGAGGTCAGCACTGCGGATGGCGCCACGTCGAATCTGGGCCGCACACGGCGCTGTTAAACATGTTCAATCCAAGAAGATTTGAGAGTTCCACACGTGCACACAAGCACATGCACAACTCCGTCAGGACCGTGCTTCAGCCGAAGAGGGGTTCGGTCGTTATTGTCAAAGACTCGCCCGACGCGGTGAAGGCCATGAAAAACGTTTTCATGCGATTATGCACGACGACAAACGAGATGATCTCTGCAGCTTGGCCCACGAACAAGTAGAGACGAGAGCGTTTAGAGCAGTGAGGTAGCACTGACATTCATCTCATCCCGAACATCATCTCATCCATTCATCCAGGCATCCATCTATCCATGCATCTGTGCAACCATGTATTTGTCCATCCGTCCGTCCGTCGTCCGTCCGTGCATTCTTTCGTTCGTTGGTTCATTCGTTCATTCGTTCATTTATTCATCCATTCATCCACGCACGTATCTGTCCCGCCGTCCATGACCATCCGTCCATCCATCCATCCATCCATCCATCCATCCATCCATGCATCCTTCCTCCCATCCATGCATCCATCAATGATAAGGCTTTCTAAGAACCCTGTTCTAGCCCTTCTTTAAGCCCAGCCTTGTGCTTGAAAACCTCGGAACTCTTTCATAATTCTCTTGAGACTTTTCTACAGAACCCTTCCGCAAGCACTTCTATAGGCCCTTTCGTAAAACCATCCGTGAAGCCTAAACCCTACCCTTCTGCAAAAAATCCTTGTCCAAGGGAGTGTCGTCACCCTTCCATTACCTCACCCCACCTCCGCGTATTCAGGTGCACGGCCAACTTGTTTCACGCGAATCGTCGCGGCAGCAAACACGTCTCATATCACGCCAGGCAACCTCGCCACACCATGCCATGCCATCCAAGCCAGCCACATGGAAAAAACATGAAAAACCCTTTGCCACCCTTTCGCAATAAGAGCCGATGCTGAGGTCAACGATGTCATGAAGGTGCACAACTTGCTGGGCGAGCCAATGGACGACGAGGATGAAAAGAAGATGATGGCCTTCTTTGACACACAGTCCAAAACGACACATGATCCAGCAAAGAGGGTGAAACATTCATGCGATCGATCCCACGTCTTCGTCAGCGAGCGGCGTTGCAATTGGTATATGTGCATCTCGCCAGTTCTGACCCGGCATCCAGAAGCAGTCACAAGCCGATTTGCTTTCCGATCTATCGAGGGGCCCCATACCTGGGGTAGGTGTTGAGTGAGCCTAACCCCCGAAGAAACAACAGCGACATGGCGCTGGCACAGCTGCTGCAGCATGCGTGCAAGATCCACTCCGAATATGTATTAATCCAAGAGGCCCTCGATCTCATGCGCGCCTGCCTGTGGTGGTGCTTGAATGTGCTTGAAACTTGAAACAGTCCCAGGGGTCGAGCCTGTGCGGGGTGGGATTCTTGCGACAGTCGTCGTGTTCGATGCCTTAGATCGTCGCGGTGATGTGAAACAAGCCAACGTGGGTATCGCTTTTCTCATAGTTTTCGACCTGCAGGGCACCTTCGCAGCCCAAACATGACAACAGTGGCTGGCACGCTGTCATCCTCTGAAGTTCTGCAGAACCTACCAGGCAAACCACCTGAAGGGGTGTCGATGTGGGGACCCAAACGACAGCCAGTCTGCACAGGACTCGGGGAGAGTCCCAGAGCCGGGCAACCACAGCACCGAAACGTAGTGACACTTGAGGGTACTGATGGGAATATTGAAAAAGCAACGGAAATAAGTTACATACCAGGTTGGGGGTGCAAGGTCGCACCATCATACATGGCAGCATGTCCAGACCCGGGATGTCGGGACAGCTTATGGTAGCCATTTCCTGTGAGTGCGGCCTAGGAAGGTGTGCATTAGCTTCGACTCCTTCATGGGATGGTGGAATGAGCTGCATGACGTCGGCGCGGATCCAGACAAGCATCACGCCTGCCTGGTGGTTTTGGGATCATGTGCAAGCGTAGAACTCGAACTGTAATTGCATCAGAGAGCAGATGTCAGGTACTACTCGCAGGAGCGTTATCGACAGCGCTTCAAAGTGCTGCAGTCTCGCCTGAAAGAGCCCACAATCGCTTCCATCAACTCTGTCACAGAGGGGGAGGTCGGTTCTCGACGATTCCGAGTTTGGTTCGAAAGTGATGGGACGCGCTTGTCCCCGTGGCACGACATCCCTCTCCGAAACCCGGACGGTTCGTACAATTTCGTTTGCGAAATCCCGAAGTGGACCAGAAAGAAGTACGAGATCGCCACCGGAGAGACCATGAATCCCATCAAGCAGGATGTCAAGAATGGTGTCCTTCGAGAATACAAGTGGGGCGACATGCTCTTCAATTACGGGGCCTTCCCACAGACCTGGGAAGATCCGAAGCACGTTAGTGAGGAGACCGGATTCCCAGGCGACAACGCTTTGTCCTCAGTCTGCGAGCTGCGCGAACAGAGCTTTTAATGGTAATGATGGTAATGGAGTGGCCGCCCAGGATCCTATTGACGTGATTGAGCTCGGCACTCGGCAACGACCTGTCGGTTCAATCACTCGCGTGAAGAGCCACTGCCTGGAAGCAATTTTTTTTTGGCCTTGGTCTGTTCTATTTTCAACTCTTATTCAGATGTTGGAGTCAGCAGATGCACCCATGAGGATCCTCGGTGTCATCGCAATGATTGATGATAACGAGACGGACTGGAAGGTGCTTACAATTGCGATGGACGATGACAGGTCACAGTTTCTTGGCAGTCTTGGCGATGCTTTGCTTGCATAGTGTGCGTCTTCGAGCAGCCAGGAACGTCAATGACCTCAACGACATTGATGCGCACATGCCCGGCTGCACGCAAGCCCTTACTGACTGGCTCCGAATGCACCTTGTCCGATAGGCATGATGCTGCTCATGGCTTGCGACTTTAAATTTGCACTCCAATCTGAACAGGCGTAGCAGGCGAGACCAGCACTGAAGTGATGGTAGGTCCAGTATCGTGAAGCCTTGCGTGGCTGCCTTGTGCGAGCGTGAGAGTCGAGGGTGATGGGAACAACAAACCAGACCAGTATTCTGAAGATCGTGTCGTGCAGTGTTAGGCCCCCGTCTGTCAATTCATGTTGCTTTGTCTGGGTGTGGCCCGTCGGTCAGACCAAGCAGCATAGTGAACTCATTAATTCGGAGCATCCGGGTGTGAGAGCTTACGCTGGATCCGCACCATTGGCTTTACTTCCCGTTGCAGTTTGCGATGCAGGGCCCCAGAAGCCCCCTAATGTAAACCTGAAACCATGTGAATTGGCCAAGCTAAGCTAGGTACAAGACGGCAGAAGGCAAGAAAGAGAACAAGTTCGGCTGCGGCGGCAAGCCACAGGGAGCAGCTTTTGCACGGCAGGTTGTGGAAACTTGGCTTGGCTACATGTGCCTTTATGGTTTTTTCAATTCTGCTGGGCATGCGCAAGGATGAGTGCCACGGCGCATGGCGAAAGCTGCTCGCAAATGCAGACGAGAAAGGTAAAGTCAAGAAGATTGCCAGCGGCAACAATCTCTATACCGAACTTGCACTTGGCTCTGACGACGACTGAACTACGTGAGTGCTCCGCTATTAGTACTTGTTTCTGGGACTAGAATGCCCCGCCAACTGATTATTGCACATCTGAGTCAGGTAAGTTCCGGATTTTCCTAGCGTTCTGCTTGGACTTTCCTGGCAGTTTTCCGAGAGTTCTGCGATCTGTGGATGCGAGAGCACCGGCGCCGGAAAAAGTGAGCCGCTACGATTTGTTATTTTTCGGGTCAGCTTCTTCTGTGATGGAGTCCATGCAGTGGATGCTTGTAGTTTAGTCAAGGCCAATTGTTGAAGCTATTCTACGGCCCGGGTGCTGGAATGCTGCCACGTCCAGGTGTGCTAGTCAGACATTTGGCATCTCCTTGTCCGGCTTTGCGGGATTCCTGAAGTCAGGTGACTGGTTCTGTGGCCATTGCCGAGCTCGAAATTGCAGAGATCGATGGTTTTGCGGCTCGGCTTTGGCCGGCACACCTTGCAGCGTCGTGAAGCGAGCCTGTTGTCCCTCTATTTCGGCTCGGAAGTTGTCAGGTTGGCGGTGTGCGCCTGCTGGCTCGATGGGAAGTCCCATGACGACTCCCGGCACACTGCGGGTGGGGAGCTGTGTTGTGGAGTCCCGGTTTGGCGGTTGGCCACAACTTCTTGCATTCAACTGTGCGCATTGCATTTCAAGGTTCTGGACAGTTTCTCTTATCCTTCCAAGTGGGACTGGGGCTGCACGCGCTGTGCAGCCGCAACTTGGTTGTGCAGGCTTACATGGTGCACTCGTAGTGGGCACTTGCCGCCCCGTGCTCCACCAAGGCACTTTGTGGCTACGAGCCCATGCCTCTGTCTGCCTCTGTCTTCTGCAAGCCATACGGTCTGCGACAGAGATGACCGTGGCTGCAGGCACAAGTGCTCACATTGCGGCGCCGACCGACCAGGCCCGAACCTCATGCATGCCCAACGAATGTAGGTGTTCCAGCATGTTGCTTTGCGAAGATTGGCGGACTTCTTGATGTTCCTCGAAAGAAGCAGTGGGTGCATCCGGCAATAAAAAAAGATCTGCGCTCGTGCATGCCCTTGTCCCAGTGGGCAGGTGCCGGATCCTTCTGCATGCCTGCCAAAACAGCCGACCAGATGGGGCCATTTTCATGTGTTCACCGTGGCAGCGTTGGCTTAAGCCTTTTTAGCCTCGGCTTCTTTGCCGAGGACTGGTTGTTGCAAGCAGCCCTTTGCGAAGCGAAGCTCGTAGCAGATTCGCCCAGGACCCTCCTTGGAGCATGGGTAACTGCTGCTCAGGAGGGGAATACCAAGCTCACAAGGCTTGTGAAGCTTCTCACAAGTCCTGCTTTAGGTATTATGAGGAAGGAGATATGGGTAAGATAAGGGGTTGTGTGATTTTGCGAGCACAGGACAAAGTGTGTTGTTGCACTGGAATGATGCTTTCTTGACATTGGGAGGCTGATGCAGATCTGCTAGCTTTCCCGGGGATCGCCGATGACAGTGTGCCCCATGCCCGGCACATGTGTCTTTTCAGCCTCTGAAATGTGCCTGCATGCTGCGTGCTCAGGACAATATCCAAGGATTCTGCGGAGGCGCTGAGCGCCATGAAGGCTGTTTTTCATCGTCTCTGCACTTCCCCTTCGGACGAACTGATATCCGCATCTCGATCTGCAATTGGAAGACCGATGGCCGACATGAATATTTCAAACGCTGGCCACCGAGGCCAACGACGTCGCAAAAATGCACAACCTACTGGGCGAGCCTTTAGACGAGGATGAGACAGTCCGGATGATGTCTTTCTTTATGGCATCATCGCCGTCGAGCCACCGCAGAATTAATTGTTGTTGGCAGGGGATGGTATGGGGTCCCCAGACGGAGGATTGGAGGAAGTGGGGCAAGGGGAGACATTAATTGAGATTATGACCCCCTTTAAAATGACTGGAGAGGATCTTCCTGTGAGAACCTTGCGAGAAATCTGTGGCTGGTCTCGAGAAACCTTGTTTCTGAACAGAAGTGTCAGAAACCTGCGGGCAGGTGGGATCGGCGTCGGGCGGCCCCTGGCCCACCCTCATAGCTCTCCAATAGACTTTCGTGGGTTGCCGGATTGCATATCTCACGGCTCTGGTAGAGTCAATATTTTCATGATTCCCAATGATTCCGCGTGATGGATCACAACGCTAGCAACAAGTCATGAGGATTCGAGTTCTTCTCAATCCTCTAAGCATCCTCGTGCTTGCTCTGTCGTACCTTGAACCATGAAGGGCACGCCATCGACAAGATCGACCTCAAGCAAAACCACATGCTTACTTGCGGCCTTCGCTTGTGCCGACAAAGTGGTGACAGGCCGAGAGGCGTGCCTCCACTCGGCGAGCATGGCTCCTCCTGGTGGCCGAGAAGTAAAGGACGATAGTCGGCAAGAGCAATAGAATCACTAGAACGTGGCAAAAATTGTGCAGTGGAAACAGAGAAGCTTCGCTGCCGGGGAAGGGCGCCCTCCTCCCTTCAAACTCCGCGCGTGCAGGCGGAGGGACTGCAGGCCGTCAAAAGAAGAAGAACACAAAGACTCAAAACCAGATCGTTTCGCTTAGCCAGAACTGAGCTTTTCTAATCCAGATACTTTCTTGGCAGTCTGAGCTCTGCCACTAAGGGAAAAAGTTGTCGCCTTCGACAAGTTCATGTCTTGGTGGAACGAACTGCATGACAGCAGTGCAGACTCTAATCAGCGGCACGGCAGAAACCAGAGCAACACCGCCCCTCTGTGATGCATTGCATTCCTGCGGCCCCACTACATTGTCACTACATTAGGTGGGGTGGTCCATAGGTCGTTTGTACTGATGCATGCCTGAACGCGTCTGACAGCACACCCTTTGTTGCCTTCAGTTTAGGTATTATTCACAGGAGAGGTACCGGCAGCGCTTCAAAGTGCTTCAGTCGCGATTACAGGATCCGAAGATCGCATCTATACAGACCGTCACGGAGGGTGAGGTCGGTTCTCGACGATTCCGTGTTTGGTTTGAATGCGATGGTCATCGCCTGTCCCCGTGGCACGACGTCCCACTTAGAAACTCAGATGAGTCTTACAACTTTATTTGTGAAATTCCGAAGTGGACGAGAAAGAAGTACGAGATCGCGACCGGAGAAATCATGAATCCCATCAAGCAGGATGTGAAGAATGGGGTCCTCCGAGACTACAAGTGGGGTGACATGCTCTTCAATTACGGGGCCTTCCCGCAGACCTGGGAAGACCCGAAGCACATCAGCACCGACACAGGCTGTCCAGGTGACAACGTGCCTGAGATGCAAGGCGAATGGCTTTGATAGTGGCAACATCGTAGAAGAATAGTGGCCGCAGTTATTCAGACACCAGCACTAGGACTGAACGAAGACGTAGACGGTAAGCCTAGAGCATAACCACGCTCTCGCACATGCGTGCGCAAGCACACGGAGACGTACACACACACACACAGAGACACACAGAGAGACACACGCAGACGCAGAGACACTTTGTACATGACTGTACTGAGTGCGTGTGTATGAACCGACAATGTTCGTGCCTGGTTATGTTTGCCTCCCCAAAACCTCGCCTGACTTTGTCGAGCGCGAGTGCCAAAAAATGTGTGTATGCAGACATTTTAGTGCAGACGTACCTACACCATCCTACACTATACATACAAAATCATGTAGACTCAGCAGACTTAGCGATCTTACATGCGCACATGTGGCTCACATAAATACACACATACCTACATTATCTACATAAGTATGGTCTCAAATGTCTGCCTGTGTGCATACATACAAGTTTCATGTGCATGCGAACTTATGTGCAATCATGACGCGAACACACAGGCTGGCACACACACATAAATACACACACACATACATATATACATGCATCCATGCATATGCATGAATGTATCGATTCATGCGTGCATGTATGCGTGCATGCATACATACCCACACAAACGCACAGACAACAATGCAGGCGGACAGACAGCCAGGCAGAGAGACAGCGACAGACAGACAGGCAGAGAGAGATATGCGTATAAATATATATACCTACATATACGTGCAGAGATGCGTATAAATACATATATTCATATATACATATATATATATATGGGTACACCCCTATATGGGGTCCCCTGGGTTTTTGCACACCTAAACCATTAAACCATTATACCATTAAACCAATCCTTTCCCCCAATGGACCCAAACTAATAAACCATTAAACCAATCCTTTCCCCCAATGGACCCAAACCAATAAACCATTAAACCATTAAACCAATCCCTTCCCCCAATGGACCCAAACCAATAAACCATTAAACCAATCCTTTTGCCCCATACCACTAAACCATTAAACCATTAAACCATTAAACCAATCATTTCCCCTATAGAGAGAGACACATCCCTGTATGGGCCGAAAGCATTGGTTTAATGGTTTAATGGTTTAATGGTTTAATGGTTTAGTGGTTTAGGGGCATTGGGGGAAAGGATTGGTTTAATGGTTTAATGGTTTAGTGGTTTAGTGGCTTAGTGGTATGGGGTAAAGGATTGGTTTAATGGTTTAGTGGTATGGGGCAAAAGGATCGGTTTAATGGTTTAATGGTTTATCGGTATGGGTCCATTGGGGGAAAGGATTGGTTTAACGGTGTACTAATTTAATGGTTTGTTGATGGTTTAATGGTTTAGTGATGGGTCTAGGGCAGTCTACTACGCAGGTGTCCTGGTTATGACCGGGGACAGAGGTTATAACCAGGCCTGTGCCACCGCTACTTCATCAACACATAAATCCAAACGTTCGAAAGTTTCGGTGTTTCAGTCAATGTAACCGCAATGAAATTAAACAAGGACTAGAAGAATAGAGGGTCCGAGGTAATTGGCATGTATTCGGTTGCTGAGGCATGATGCAGTGCTCTGTAACAAACATAATTCCGGGGACCATGTGCGCATTCCCCAACTTTAGCAGAAAGGCTATATGGCGGACTTTACATAATGGTCTGTCCGTTCCAGTACATCGGGTTTGTGAGATCAGTGTACACATTGAGAGAATAGCCGCTAACATGTCACTCACCCAGGAATCAAAATGCGGAATATGAAGGGGCTCTATCGGGCTTACAGTAGGTCAGTAGGTGTTGTCAACATTGGAATATCACGGTACACAGAAAGTTGAGATACGACTGATACGACGTCATTGTAGGGGAGAGACAGTATTTCAAAGTTTACAGCGTGGTCAGGTTTCATCACTTCGTACATAGGCACTGGTTGCAACGTTATGTTCAAACATCGTTCCAAGGAAGCCGGAAAAACTGATAAGAATATGTGTGGTGAGCGAAACAAAATTTGCAACTTGCAAATTGTTAGGTTTCCTCGCTCGGTACGTAGAAAATTCCTAGCACTGCTACTTCCAACTACATGGATGAACATGAACCTCTTTCGAGGAGTGATTCGGTGTGTGGTTACCACTTTTTCTAACACGAGGATCACGTTCTGGACTGGGAACAATGGCTTCTATTCGACCTTCAGTGAATATTCACAAGAACACAAACAGAAATTCGGACAAGCTAGATGTAGCCTTATGGTTTTCAGTCGGCTTTACGTGATGGTTAATGTATGCTGATACAAAAAAACCACAGGCTTCATCACTCAGCATATAGAGACAGTGCGCGTCCTAAGAAGCGACACTTCATGTCGTCCCCCAGGAAAAACACTATACAACGTTTGCTAAGCTTGTAGTATGCAAGTTTTCAATTTTGGCTTGGGGCAGCCGTCATACAGAATTAAGGAATGCACCACTCAAATACACCTACCAGATATACCAGTGTTTAAAAGTAATCACATAGGGGCACAGGGATATGTCATTGAAAGCTATCAGTTTGCCAAAACGTCATAGCAATGCGTCCAACAACAGAGACTTTGGTGGGATAGCGGCATTACAGTACAAAGATGGAGAACTTTTCGTTCCAAAATCTAGTTCGCGATAAGGAATGACTGAAGCAGACTCATGACTACAGCGCGCTTGTTGGAAAAAACTGAAATACAGCGGTTTAGATACAGTCACACAAAGATGAACTACGAAGATATATCGACGGCTTCAAGGCAAGGATTTTAGCACATTGTAACAGGGTTTCGACGAGGGTGTCATAGAATTCTTAGCGTTGTGCGGGTTTCAGCATTCTGAAAGCATGGGTTTTTGCAACTTCCCGGGTTAGTCTTCAAACCGGATATAATACTGTAGTCGATGACGTACACCTGATTATAACCTAGTCGGCTGGTTATAACCTAGTCTGGTGGTTATAACCGAGTCAATTGGTATAGCGAAAAACGTAGGGGACCCCAAATAGGGGTGCGCCCATGACTATATATATATATATATATATGTCACACACACCTCTCTCTCTCTCTCTCTCTCTCTCTCTCTCTCTCTCTCTCTCTCTCTCTCTCTCTCTCTCTCTCTCTCTCTATTTATTATATGTATACGCACGTGTAGATACACGTATGCACTTATGTACAGTAAGTTTGCCCTTGATGTAGATCAGTGGAAATGTAGGTGTGCCTGTCTATGTGCGTGTATGTATACGCATACGAGTATGTACGCACATACCATATCTGTATGTGTATATATATGTATGATGCATGCATACGTACTTACATACATACATTTACCTATAAATGTGAGCGAGTGTGTGTATGTATATATATATATATATATACACGTATCTATGCATACACGAGTGTTATGTATATAGGTGGTCATATATATATATATGAGATTTGGTATCTGTGTATGTATGTATGTATGTAGCAAGTAGCACGGACATGTATACGGTATGTATGTAGGCATGCATGCATGTACGCATGTATGTGCCTATGTCTGTGTATATATATATATATATATACATATGTGTGCTGTGTGTGCTTGTGTGCATTCATATCGAATCCAGGACCCGATCGATGTTATCGAGCTGGGAGCCCGGCAGCGATCAGTTGGATCTATCGTCCGTGTGAAGATCCTTGGTTACACACGAAGCCCTGTCGCGAGTTTCCCTCGCAAGTTGAAGCGCCCTTTGTCAGGATACTGGGAATCCTAGCCATGATTGACGATGATGAGACAGACTGGAAAGTCTTGACCATTGCCCTGGATGACGATAAAGCACCGATCCTATGTCTGTGCTGTGGAAAGAGTTTTCCTTTGACAGCCGGGGAAGATAATTCGCTTGGCTCACAGAACTCCAAAGTCTAAAGCCCCGCAGCTAAGGATAGTGCACGACCTGAACGATGTCGAGGCTCACTGGCCCGGAGCGTTGCGGTCACTAACGGATTGGCTGAGGATGCCGCTGAACAGCAAAAAATCGCAAGAAAGGGGGCAGCTTTGCGCTCTGTGTATCATCAGTCTTGAAGACTTCCACGCCTGTCACCTTGCCGTACACAACTAACTAAGGTACAAAACGGCGGAGGGCAAGAAAGAAAACAAGTTCGGCTTTGCCGGGAAGCCTCAGAGTGCAGAGTTTGCTAAACAGGTTGTGGTCGTTCGGCTCAGCATAAACAAACTTGCTCCTTCTGGTCTTGTAATTGATACTGCCACTGGTGGCTTCAGCACAGGATCATGCCGAAACCAAGGAAGAAACTCACCAAGCCTGGAAAAAGCTGTTGGTGGATGCAAGTGCAAAGGGCAAGATGAAGAAGGTTGTCAGTGGCCCCGATATCTATACCGAGCTCGCTCTCGGAGCTTCGCAGTCAATGCAGCCTGCTCCCGCGTGAAAAAATGAGCCTCCCTTCAGCAGGAGCTGTTTGCCTTTTACCGGAGGAGAGCCGGCTGTGATGCTGGTGAGTGCATGTTGTTTTCCTTCGAGCAGCGGTGCTCGGAATGCTCTTCTATACGATCGTTGTAGATTAGGGTTTTCGCTTGCTGGAGCCCTCCCGAAGTGGAGTTTGTATCCTGCTACAGCCGCGCCCATCGGGAGTGCTTTTGGGCACCCGGGCTTGTCACTTTCAACGGAGCGACTTGCGCTTGGAAGTTGGAGGTGGTTTTGCAAAGACACTTCGTAAGCGGAGGTTTGACGTAGATGAGAAATCTGTGTCAATCCATCTCAGCGTCTCTGAACGACGACGGCTCGAGCGGATGATCAGGTGCAGGGCCCTACAAATCAGAGATGTTCCGTTTGCAGGCCTCACTCTTTGAGCAAGGGCTCAGGAAATGAACGTAAGGTTAAAAGACATCACCGAGGCAGGTGGCCTCGGAAGATGGAAGCCAAGGTCAAGAGAGGTGGCCTAGCACGCTCTTGAATGGGGTTCAGGGTTACGCAGTCAGCCAGCCCACCTAGGCAGGCCGGGAAGGACGCAAATTGCAGCAAGTATGATATCCGTCTGCATGGACAGGGCGGGGAGGGCCAAGCCTACTTGGGATTGTGGAGGTGGCAAGCCCGGCATTTGCTATGCAGAACAAAAGGCACATCCCAGATACAAAAGGAGCAGCCACAATCAAGAGGAGAACATCATGGGAAAGCCCCGGAACTTAAATGCACTGGCTCTCTGCCGGAGTCCTCGCCTGCTGGGTGTGCAAGTCGAAATGCACCGGGGGTTGGTTGCCCCAGGCGAAATCGACGGCTCAGAAACCGTTGGTGCTGAAACAGCTTCATGTGAGCAGGCAGGGGGTCAGAGGGTTCCGAAGCTAGACGAGCGATGGCTCCGAATCCAGAAGTTCCTTAGCATCTCAGATGTCTATCATTTGTTGACCTTGCGATTTCAAACGCTTCGCGTCGTCCGCCGTGGCCCGGCTGTACTTGAAGCAGGTGCATTGTTTCGGAAAGCAACAAGTAGGTCACACAGATGAGTTCTTGAGTGAATGAGTGTATTTGCTTCAGATTGTTTTTCAATGTAGTATTTGTTTGCATGCTGAGGCTCTGAGCAACAATCCCATGCGAAAGGGGGCACATTCCCTGCAAGATGGTACTAGAGACATCGTATTACACTGTTCACTGGTCTCGTAGACGATCTCGTCAAGCTTAGCAACAAAGTGCAAGATATCAGCCTTAGAATTTTCGGGCTTTGACATCAACTTCACGAATGATGTAAGCTAGCTCGTCTTGCCTCGCCGCAAGCCGCAAGGAAGTGACGAGGGAAGCTGCCAACCCGAAATCCAAATTTTCAGGCGGAGGGGGGTGGGCAGATTAAGAGGTGAGGAACCAGGAAATCTCTGTGGGAACGTCTGACCGCTTCGGCCGGCGCCGAGGCGACTTAGGCGTGTGTGTCGGACGCCTCTCTGTCGCTGCCAGTCAAGGTGTAAGCGACCCAGCTCTCCAAGCCCTGTAGGCTCATGCCTGCCATTCACTGAGGACATGCTACAAGCGTCGACTGACCCGGTGCCCTGCTGATGGAACATTTCCGATCGCGAAGGTGTTGGGGCGTGTTCATGTAGCACTCCAAACCCAGCAAGGCCCAAGCGATAAACTCTCATCAATCCAGCTTCCAAGTTCACAAGCTTCTCGATGTCTACCATAAGCTATCGAGGTCAAGCCCGAAACCCTAGTTAGACCGCAAGTTCTTCCGCATCGCGAACTGTGCATGTCGTCTGAGCCGGCCAAAAGTGCGGACAACTGCGAGTCGTAGCCGACGCAAGTTGTGGGCCGCGCCGTGTTTTTCAGCATGTTCTTCCATGTCGCCCGAGCAAAGGCCTGAAAGTGCAACTGTGCCCGTTGCAAGCTTCAAAGAGGTCGCGGAAAGTAGGCTTGTTCGGGCCCCCCCGAATGCCCCGCTGCAATGGGGGGCTGTGGCTCGGCTGTTACCAGTTCTGCTGACACGCGGGCAAGCAAAAGAGATACAATGCTGGCCAGTTCATGTGCTTGGAGGCCAATCCAGTCCAAATTGCGCTGATCCAGCTTACCAGAAGGAGCGATATGCCGTCCAATTAAGTGTACCGCATTGTACCGCTGGACAGTTTTGACATCTGTGTAGGTCGCTGCCACGCCATCCACTGCTGCGGCCCAGCCCCTGGCTAGCGCCTTGACAGCAAGGATAGGGTTGGAGGAGCAGCGTGTGGTCGAGTAGCAATGAATTCCGAAGCTGTAAGTGGTCTCAGGCGATGGCACAGGGGAGGATCTTGTCGAGCCCTTACCGTTTGTGGTTCGTTGATGCAGTTGAGGGGTAGCACTGGTTGTGGAACAGACTTGGACGAAGTCACTTGGGCTAATTCGCGTGAAGTGGGAGTGGGAGCATCATGTGGCTGCGGAGGCAGGGTCCCTGCCCATTGAAACGACGCTGGAATCTTTCGTTTGGGTGCCGCGATGCTTGTGAAGGGCGCTTTCAAGCACCTGAGAGCTTCGAACCCTGGTGGCCAGGTCGAGGAAGACATGCCGGAGGATCGGCTGTGAGAAGCAGTCTTCGTAGCGAAGGGTTCTTAATGGCACGCCAGCTAGGTTGGCGGTGATTTCCCAGCTGCTGACAAGCCAATGCAGCATCTCATCCATCAGGCCAGATGAGATTTGAAGTTGCGTGCCCAAACAATTGAGACTCCCAGGAAAAGGAAATCTTCCAACTCGGCCGGACTCAGGATTGCATAGGGCTGTGTTGTCGCACGCACCTCCCAGCACCTGGCTTATCAACAGCTCAAGGAGTACGACGAAACCCTCAGCACGACGGAGTCTTCTACAGAGATGCCCTGGATGCATTTCTTGGTGTGCCTGGGAAGCAACCCAGCCATCAGCTTGCAGCTAGCTGTTGGACTGCATCTGAGTGCAGCGAAGGTTGTGGGCATGCGGGGGGCCCTACGCCTCGGGCGTCTTGAAGTTCAGATTCAGTAGGCTGGGCTCCAGCAGAGCTATTTAATTTCAGTGCGCCTCGAGGCTGCAGCCTGGCGTCTGGAACTTTGTCGAGCCAGTCCGTCTTCGTGCAGCTCGTGGGCACGAAGTGCACTGTCGCGTCGGCGCACAAAGTAGGATTGAAGTGTGCTGAGGGAGATTCTGGCAGAAGCTGGAGTGTTCCACTCCGTTTGCGAGCACTTCGCCTATGAGTGTCCTTTGGCTTCGCCTTGGCTGCATGTCCCGTGTTGTTATTTGTGGACATGCTCTGCTTCTGTCCATGGCACTTCCCAGGTGCAGATCAGATTTCCGCACCTCGGCATCAAATTATTCCATCGAGTGAAAGAAAGCACACTACTGGTACTCTAGCAGCCCTAGGCCGTGGGCATTTCTTCAACATTCTGTCAAGACCACCCTGTCATTCCAAGAGGCGCACCGCACAGTGGGGAGCACGATTGGGGCACAGGTGGAATGAATGCACGGGAAGACGATGCGCGCCCCAAAATAGGCACGGCTTTGTGGCGGAGCAGGATAGCCGGCGTTGGAAATTCCAAGACCCGTAGAACGGGGTGATTTCGAGATGACAATCACGAGCGATGATGTGATCCGGGAGCCGATAGTGTACGATCCCGGTTCCCGGGCTGCCACTGCTACCCCCCCGCTCTCCTGTCTAGGAGTCCCCTTGACCTGCCTCCACAAAAAATTCCCCCACCCTCCGCGGCTGTTTGCGCGTTTTCTTGGGATGGGATCGTCTCCGGGATGCAGACATACTAGTCGCTGCCTTTTGTTGTCTCATTTCTTCGCAAGTTTTCGACATGCGGGGCTACTTCGCATCTCACACGTGGCAAATGTAGCTGGCACGTAGTCGTGATTCACAGGTTGCAGACACGCTTCGCCCCACTCGAAGCCCGGGGGGGAGGAGGCGACGGGTTTCAATGCGTTTGCACCAGAGCGCCGCAGTGACAGCGGCACCATCAGCAAGTGTAGTAACAAGCGCAACGAGGATGACAATGCTATTGACAAAAAGCTGCAAGTGCCTCTGTGACCGGGAACCCAAACAACACCAAACACAAGTGAGAATCGAACACATGACTCTTTTCACACCGACTCCGCACCTAAGAACCTCGCCTGGCTGTGTCCGAGTTGTGAGAGCGTAAACAACACCAAACACGATGGGGGGGTGAGATATCATGTCATGCCGAAGATCTGGAACGCATCTAGCCCCACACCCAAGGCTCTGACGTCTGTCTTCGGGGTGGAGCTCTCAGTCTTGCAGATGGTCGCGTTGCACTCTCGCTCAGTCTCGGCCAGGTCTGCCAATCCATCGCCTACGGATTCTCGGCACCCATCGGTCTCATGTATGATCTCTGGGGCGCGACTCAGCTGAAGTTTTTGGGTGCAGAGGCCAGTCAGCTAGACACATGGCCACACGAGTTTGCACTGCGGCTGCCGCAAGGCGAAGAAGACGGGAACGACGGGAGCGCTGATCTCCGCAGTGGGGCTGCTTGGGCAACCAATGGCAACCAGGTTTAGATGGGCAAAACAAGCCCAAACCAGCAAATAGAAATTTTGGCTCCGGCCGCTACTCTTTCTTGGAATTCTTCGCCTGGGACTCCAAGTGCCAGTGTGCATCACCAATCTCGGCCAAGGTTTCTTCTGGCCTGTGGATCTGTCTTCGGTGCTGCATCCGGACATGCGATCGGCCTGCATGCAGATTTGTGCACCAAGTTTGAAAAGCAGCTCGAAACACATCTTGCTGTGACTCTGCCCCATCAAGGATGAGATTGCTTGTAATTTATTGGCACCGGGCGTGCCCCGGCTCTACGAGGGACACATGTTGCAAGTCTGTTGCGGGGTTCGCGAGGCTTTCGGTGGAGCTTTCGTCTTGCATGCTCGTCACTGCGCGGCCTCTGCAACTACTAAGGTTTTGCTTTGTGACTTCGGTTCTCTGCTTTTCAGTGGCTTGGCGTGCATATCAGAATTTGTCGTAGAGATCACGCTGCCTCATGCAGTTGGGTTTGGACTTGGCCACGTTCCGGATGCCATGACCTGCTAATAGCTCACGGATCGTCAGGCTTCTCTCTCGTTGGTTTTGTCTGGCACATCCCACATCGGCAGACTCTGCTTATTGCCCTCATCAGCTCGACGTCACCGCCTTGGCTTCTGGCTCTGGCACACACCACATGCGGGCGTTCATTGTGCCCAGCTGAACATCTGAGGTATCAAGCATCTGCTGCACTGCCGATGCTCCTGCAAGCCGAAGCTTGACTGAATTCAGATCATGAGTTCCCAGTCGAGTCTTGCGCTGCTCTCCTGTAGCAGCTACTGTCGTGTGCTGCAGCTCTCGTCTTGCTCGCGACTCAGCTGAGGGCATCAAGTGGTTAGAGCTGCCCCTGCACTTCATGATGCTCGCTTGGGCGGCCGCAGTTTTTGCAGCTGCGGGCGTTTGCTCTGTCGGGCTCCCTACGCAGATCGAGCTGCTTGGTAGCGGGATTAGCTCATGTTAACTGCCGGTGACGGCAACTGCCGAACTCGTGTCGTTCATCCGATCAGGTTCCTCGAGCAGGCGAAACATGTTCTTGGAGTGCCGCTGCCGAAGCTTGTCTGCAGCTCGAAACAGAATCGGACGACCTATGACCTATGTCCGCATTCTTGAGCCATGGAAATATGCGAAGACATCTTGCGAGCATCTAAGGAAGCCTGGTGGCACCAGAGTGTCAGAGCCCCAAGAAAATGCTGCTGCTTGTGCATCGATGGGGCGGTCCGGCGACCGAGGCCCCAGATGATCTCGCGTGCTGTCGGGATTGTCCGCGTTCATCTCGCAGATCATGTTGTTTCTGGTCTTGCCTTAGCTTCAGCGCTCGTGCACCTTGGCGAGATTTGCAGAAGAAAGCTCCTTTCAAGACTTTTGACTTTCGTTGTGGGTGTCGAGTGCAAGGCTGCCTGCGCTTTATTCCTCTGTGGCGGTTGCTTGACATGCACAGGGTAGCTCTATGGCTTCAAACACTGCATCTGCTGCGGTTGTTGGCAGAGGCTCCGTATGGAGAGCTGCTGTTTGGCCATAAATCTGATGGCAAGATGCCACTTGGCCTGACCGCGGCGAGCCATGGGGCTCTGGGGCTCCTACCCTCCAAAGTCGACAGAAGCTTCGCTTTTTCTCTACGCGGTACGGTCACGGCAAGCAGCAGCAAAGAGCAAAGGCTGGTGGAGATCAACGTTGTGGGCGGCGCAGTCGTTGGTGGCCCAGACTTTGGCGGCCTTTGGTGGCTCTCCTTTTGTTGATGTGGGCAGAGGCCGGTCTTGTCCTGGCTCCCGTGGCTGGTATGCTTGCGGACGGCTTTGGCCTGGAGGCGAAACGGGACACCCTGTTCAGAGAGAGCTAAGCTCTTCGGGTCCCTGGAGGCCTTCACCGTCCTTCTCGCAGCCTCGGCATTGGTGGCTTCGGTCACGGTCGGCATCGCATCCTGGCCAGCTCAAGCCCTGTGCACGTCCGGCCCCCAGAACACTTCTAGTGACTGTCTTCTTGTTGATCCGGTCACCCCCTTTTGTCTCCAGCGAGGTCATCGGCAGTTTTGTTTACAAGCTGCTTATCAATCTACGTCTGGCGCTACACGCTGCTGCTCCTTGGCCAGAGAGTTGTCTAGAGGCAGATTGACATGTTGCCGCGTCATGCCACATTCACACTTGCGTGGCTGTCCAGGTACGCGCCGCCCAGTCGCTTTGGTACTGTTCAGGGCATCTTTTCAACAGTCTGGTCTCCCGGCTTTGCCTCAAGCAGAGGGCAATTACACAAGTAGAGCCGGATGTAGCTGAGGCCGTGATCTTCATCAGTACACCGCTTTCGGTTGCTGGAATGGCCGCCGCCTGCTCGCACCATTTCTCGGCAGCTCAACTGTTACGACTGAGTGACTGGGGAAGGCCATCTCCTTACGACCTCCAGGCAAGCTCAGCAGTCGGCAACGTTCCTGTTCATTGTTCATCCATCTTAGTTCCACTTCGCAGCAGGCCTGAACGAGTATCGAGTCTCGATGCTCGCCTGTGGGCTGCGGGTGTCTCAATTGGCTGCAGTCTAAACACATTGCTTTCTGGGTGGAGACGTCTGAAGTCACTGAAGTCCAGGATGGGCACAGTGCTTATGGCACACTATGCGCCGTACCTGGAGTATGGTGCAGATGTGCACACGAGTCCGTGAATAGCGGTAAGTGCCCCACTTGTGATCAGGTCGCATATGCCAGGCGCTACCCGCCACCGGACTGTCCTACCATGTTGCCCGAGGACGAGGCTGGCATAGGGCTTAGGGGTTAGGGAAGGCTTTTGTTGACTTCTTTCGCGATGTTCTCCACCGAAGACGGCCCGCGGGCTCCGGCACCAGGCCATGCTGGCAAAGAGCTTTGGCTGCGGAAATTTAGACGAGGCGGACTCAGTTATCTCTGGCACCTTCTCGTGGGGGTTGAGCAAGACAGCCAGGTTTGTGAAGTGACTCGAGTGAGAAGAAAATCCATCCTCATCAAGAAGATGGGGTCGAACCGCTCGGAGGCGGCGTGTTCGTCCGTCCATCCGCCAGCAAACGCGAACCAAGCCTGATGTCGACCTGCACGGAAGTTTTCGAAGCAGCAGGGGTAGAGTAGGTAACTTGAACAGTTTTTGGGGCATGGTAAGAAGGTTAACATTCAGATCCTTTAGGATGCTGGACAACTCGGATTTTGAATGCTCCATGCCGCTGGATGCAGGACTTGCTCAGCCTCCTCGCGGGCATGGACGTTCACAAGTTGATGGAGCGCTGGGAAGTTGATTCCGTCCTCTGCATTTGCAATGCAGAGTCCTTTGACAACCTTCCCATTTATGCAAGCCTTTGGTCGAGACTGAGCCAAGAGTGTTTCTTGTCAATAGATTCGACAGGGCGTCAAGCTTACCGGTTGGAAGGCTTGTCTTCCACAGCCACTGACATGTGTTCATGCCGAGTGCAGGAGATGATGCCGCGGCCTCGAGTGGTTTGTTCAATGCACAGCTCATTCTGCATCCCAACTGCGTCCCACCGTGTCGATCAACTACATTTTAGAGGTTGAGGAGATTCCTGCCCCCGGCAAGAGACAAGAACTAGACGACCCGAGATTGATTGTTTGGGTGCATACTTGTTTTGCAGAGGTGGTCTTGAGAACAGAGAGGCAAGCTATGACGGGCTTCCCGCAACATCTCTTGACTTACTCCTCACTTTAGCATCCTTTACCCCTAGTTAAGGATCCAATTCTGTGGTGCGGTCTCTGTCCAAAGGCACACTCGTCCCACCGGACACGAGGGCAAACATGGATGTCACCGGAAGGGGAACATGCAAGCTGGCTGCTTTCTGGAATCCCGCGCGTTGGTCGAAGGGGTGATCGTGGCATGCACTCAAGACTTCGGGGCGCGCATGTCGTCAGCTGCCCATCTGTTTCATGCCCTTGGCCTGGCATCCATCTTTACGCCACGCTTCGCAACCTTTCGTTTTTTAACTGGCTCTTTGCCACGCTGTCGTGGCATGGTGAACCTGCCAAGGGCGAAGCGGCCAGTTGAAGACATCGCTGCTTCTTCGCTGCACAGCTGACATCCTCGCATGTCTCAGTCGGAGGGACTTGCATTGGGTGTGCTCTGGAGGCGATGATGGAAGAGGAGGATTCTGTTTTTCAACAGGCGACTGCTGACATTGCAAGATATTGCATGCAAGCGCTCAGCTGCCGGAAATGCGCTGTCGCAGGAAGTGGAGGAGAAGCACTTTGGGCCTGAGGCGACGTCGGTGGCAGAGTCCATCAGCGTGGTGGAGCCACAGGCCCAACAAGTCCAAGAACCAATTGCCAGTGCCAGTACTGACACGCATCGCCACGCACCGAAGCACGAAGGCGGGCGTCCGGGATCGAGCGCGGTACCTGGCCAGGCCAACTGCTCGATTTGGCATCATGTCGGCACAGAGCCTTTGGGGAGGCTCGTGGCCGCCGCTGATGCTCAGGCCCGAAAATGGCCTTGTGTGCCAGGTTTGCGAGAATTAAGAGCAGTGAAAGCAAGCAGAACTCTGCATCTCCAGAGGGCAAGATGTGCCGCGGTCATGTGAACGTGAACGACGAATGTATTATGTGCTGGAGTGGCAGGGAATGAGCAGAGGGTGCCGGGGCATTGCTGCTTTCCAGTGGTTTGACGTATTCACTGTTGCTGCCACAACATCCTGCCAGATGTTCTTCGTCGTCAACTTTTGTTCAATTCAATAGGAAGTGGTGCTGCGTACTCGTGCAATTTGAGAACTCCATGTGACACCACCAGTCCGACTACTCGTGAACTTGGACTCATCGAAACTCAAGGGCACATGGTCTGTGTGTGTGTGTGTGTGTGTCTTTGCGTTTATCCGTGCACTCGCGCGTCCTGACAGAGCAGCTCCGAGGCCGTGAGAGAATATTTGCTGACGGAACCGCTGGAAGAAACTTCAGCTGCAAGCCGATGAGAGCGGCCGCATTTGCAGTTCCTCAGCCTCGACCTGTGGCTGTGAGTGTCGCCATGTCTGCATATCCAAGGACATATGGCGAGTGTGGCTTGACTTCGAGGCTGGGGCTTGTGACTCTCGCTGTCTTTGCTGGGGTGTTGCGGCTGCCCGATGTGAACTGGACAGAAGTGGCAAGCACCGCCCGAGCGCAGAAAGATGGCCAAGGACCGAACTGAAGCACTGGGCCATACAGGGCCTCTTCCGACACAGCGGATCATGTCCTCAAATACTCGTAGGACTTCAACAACGTCATTCCGAGCAAGGACACGCCGAAATGTGCATGCCTGTATTCGGCCGCGTCAGCAGACATGAGCTTTGCGCAGGACCTGGCCGACATCCTTCGTCGGCGTCCAGACCTCAAAACGTTCGTGCAGAGCGTTCCGGCCTCGAGCATCTCCAACTTGCCCGTGCAAGTTTTTGCCGCCGTGTCGCAGGTCATTGTACAAGCCGTGGAGAGAAAGATCGCGCTGCGGCCTCGCCTAGACTCCACGAGGTCAGGTCTCGACAGCCTTCGGACTGTGCGCCAAGGACTCTGCGAGGCAAACAGAAGTGAGAAGCTCCGCAGCCATGCCCTGCGGCCGAGCCGCAGGTGGCCGAGCCCGGTGTACAAACCGCCGAATTAGCTTTCTTGCAGGTTGGACGTTGAGCTAGCATTTGCATAGTCTCAGCTTTGTGTAGCATGCAGACAAGCTGCATCATCCTGATGCTGCGAAGCAGCCTTCAGGCTTTCAGGCGCAGTGCTGCAAAGAGTGTGCAAAAGCGATTTCTTCCGAGCCTGAGCCTGACGAGGATGCTGAAAGCCTTTGCCAGGAAAGCCGGCTTTTCTGCGAGTGCTTGGGGTCGGATTGCAGCCTTTCTCACATGGTCTCAGGAGTCGCATCATGCCTTTCAGATGTTGCGACATTGATGTAGTCCGCTGCCGAAGAACCTCAGTCGAATTCATGATCCCAAGAATGTCTACTACTTGTAGGACCGGACTTAGGGTTTGCAGCCTGCGCATGTGCCCGCCTCCCTTGCCTGCACTGGTTCTGGCGGTGACTGTCCAAACAACTTGGGCTGGAGTGCTATGTTCTTGGACTAGTGATGATACTCGGCTTTGTGCCGCACAGGCTGCGAATCACGCGAGGTAGACCAGCAAATGTGCGTGGGTGATTGAGCCAACATCCGCTATATTCAAGCGCCTAGGAATCTACGAGACGCCTTCCCAGTGGATGGCGTGACTTGGTTGTTAAAGTATCTACATGCTGCTGGTTGGTCCATGTCCAAGTCTCAACCTGGCCTCGCATGCCTCGTGAATTTTCGTGCTAAGGTGATGGGCTTCGCTCGCTGCATGACCTCGCAGGATGTGAAGGCAGAGTGCTGTCCAGATCGTTCGTTGACATCGAGGGCTTGCAGTTCATGGTTTGCCGAAGTTCCGGAGATCCTGGAAGTACGGGGTCGCCGCCGCACGGCGGGGACTTGCCATTCTTGTCGCTTCTGTCAGGACGGTAATGTAAGATTCACGTGGCCGAAAAGGAATCGCATCCAGGAGTGCATTCCATGAGGGAACGAAGCACGACATTCCCCCCTCCCCAGCTCGCGAGTGATATGCGAACCTTGGCGAGATCGGCTGACTTTGCCACTGTAGCTGCGCGAACTAGTGTATAAGGTGGCAGTGTCTTTTTTAAGCCCACGACTCCGCCTCCCTCTCACAGCCCCATCTTTCCGTACAGCTCACAGACTGGCTGTAGACCACCACTTTTGGAGTCGTTTAGCGAGGCTGCCAATGTGCAAGATCCAGTCCCATGCAGGTTTATTGACAGACCTGATTGATGTGCTTGCAGCCGTGCTCGGAGTGAGTTGCATAGGGCCGCCCAGACAAGCTGGCAACAGAGACTTTGAACCTGCGCCGACTCGAGCTAAGTCTACTCGTAGCTGTTTCTGTGCTGGCCCAGCAAAGTTGCTGCCCTGGAGGTTACAACAAGGCGGCGCGACCGATAGCGGGCAGTGTTGCCGAGCTGTTGCAGGCGCTGGACTTGGAGGATGACGGTAGTGATCAGGCGGTGGACAGGCAACGGTTAAAGAGGACGGCCTGTGCTGACTTCACGTTGTCATGTCTCCTATGTCGCGCACGATATGTGGGTACTGGGGCTGGGGCATCTTCTTGAAAGTTTGCAGAATGGCGAGGAGCTACCGTGAGCTCTCCGTGAAGCACCATCCCGACAAGTCCGCAGAGTCGTCCGGATTCCAGCGCCTGCGGCATGCCTACGAAATCCTTGATGATCCAGTCAAGCTGCTGTTGAGCCTTGGCGCCGTGAGTTCTGTTTTTCGGCTGCTTCAGTTTCATTCTTAAGTGATGAAGTCCAGCATGCGAGTGGCGAGTTTGTGTTATGACCCGAGAGCGGAGGTACGACACCGGAGGGCTAGAACTGGTGAGACAGTACGAGATGCATCCTGATGAGGTTCCGACAACCGAGAACTTAGAGCTTTCCCACAGCATCTCCCTGGAGGAAGCATATGGAGGTGGTGACTATGCCTTAGGCCTGAGCAAACAGATCCTGTGCCTCTCCTGTCGGCAACAACCGCGGTTACCCCGCTGCCGACGATGCCAGGCCTGCCCGGATGAGGTGCACCTGCGACAGGTTTGGATCAACCAGTGGGAGTATTACATGGAGGAAATGCTCGTGCCCAGCGGTGAGAGATGCAGACAGACTGATCTGAGCTTGAACATGACAATCGAACGCGGAGCCATGAGCGGAGACAGGCTGCGGTTTGAGTTCATGGCAGCCCAATTGCCAGGACATGTTCCTGGCGATGTGCTTGTCAACCTCGACGTTCGGAAGCACCCACTGTTCAAGCGAAGGGGTTCTGATCTCGTGCTTTCGCTCCATATCTCATTGCTGGAGGCTCTCGTGGGCTTCAAGCGTGAGGTTGTCCACCTCGATGGCCGTGTGCTACACCTTTCTGTTCCTAGGGGGGGCGTTGTGCACCCTGAAAGTTTGTTGGAAATTGAAGAAGGGGGCATGCCCGTTCACGAGGATCCGTCGACCTTTGGCCGCTTGTTGGTCCAATTCCAGATCGAGTTTCCGGAGCACCTGGACCCTAAGGCCGTCGCACAACTCGAGGAAGCCTTCGCCCTCTGAAGCAGAAGCCGGCGGAGTCAGGGACGCTCGTGAGCGACACAAGCACATGGAGGCGGCAGGACGGCCCGAGCCAGCAAGTGCCTGGAAGAAGATGAGCCGGAGCTGGAGGTCTGCCGTGGGAGGTCTGCGGCTTGCGTTTCACCTGCCCGGTGTGGTGAGGCACGTCTCATCTCGACAACAGGTAGGGAGATGGCTGATGAAGCGCATAAGAAGCTGTCCAGACAAAATCAAAAGCCGCCAGGGGTGGGCTGGGTCAAAGCTGGCCATGATTAGCACAGTGAATAGTGTAGCATGGCCAGCAAAAACCAAATTAAACCTAACCTAGTCGTACCATGTCACGTCTTCGTTTCGGCTCTTCTCGCAAACTTTAGGGATGCAGTCCACGCCACAGGCGGGATGCCCCTGTCCCGGTGACTTGGAGTCTGCAACCTGGAGAGATGCAGGCATGCAGCGATGCCGCGGCGGCGGGACCAACCGGGGCCTGGGCACTATGAGATCCCGCACTTCCTCACTCAGAGTACGTGCCTCGCCCAAAAGTAATGAAGTCCTCCTCTGTTCGACGCCTTTGCTCTCTGCCCGCTCAGTCCTTGAGTTCCCTACAGCTGTTTTCCTCTTCACTCTCACTCTCTCAAGGGCTTGCTCTCGGTTTCCCGTCTGCAACTTGGCTTGAGTTGCAGAGACGAGAAGAGAGCTCTGCTGGCTAGGAGGGGGGCGAGCCTGAAGATTGGCAGCCGAATGGGGAACCAGCTGGACCCTCAGTAAGGCCTGCTCTGTCTGCGGTTGCCCTTGCCCGTTGTAGCCAGGGCGGAGCTTGTGCCTGGGCCGACAGACTATGTCTCCAAGCCAATGTGCCCAACCGAAAAACGAACGGCCCACATCAGGCGCGATCCTCTTTTCCTGACGGATCTCCGGACTTTTTTGTGCGATTGGCCAATGTGCTGTTTCAGGTTTGGCACGGCGAAGCGCTTCGGGAGGATGGGGCCTCATCACGGGGTTTATCTGTTGCTGGCCTCGGCCTATGCAGCCAAGGACTGGTGAGGACACTCCTGGGCCCTGCCAGTATACACCTCACAATCCAACAGCCACTTCGGAGCGTCGAAGCATTGGCGAAAAGACCGGCATGCTACCCGCATGCACTGGGAATCGGACACTTCTCTTTGTGATGCTGGTCGCGAGCGGGAATGCGGGACCTCATTCTTGGGTGTTGTGGTGCACCAAGGAAGCTGCCTGGGCTTGGCGATGAAGCTAGCCTGCAGCAGTTGAGTTGAGAGCCGGCGGGCTTCAACCCTCATCAGATACAGATCGTTGCTGCAGCTGGAAGCTTTCGGGTTCTGTTTGAGCTGTGTTTCGCCCTCTCCGAATTCCTTGTCTGACCCTCAGGGAACCCCTGGCCCTGGTTCTTACACGCCGAAGGCCGCACCGCCCCAGCTAGTGGCTTTTGTGGCAAAGGATTTTTACCTTTGTGAGCGACTCAGATGCCAGGTTTCGCAACGAAGCCCCGGGACGGCATTTTACCGAGGCGGCCGGCGGAGCCTGGTCCCAATACTAATACTCTTTGCCTTGCTGCTTGTTGCCAGGTTCCCCGAGGCCTGGGGCGAGCAGTGTAGCAAGCGGTGCGGCAAGGGTTGGCCGGTTGGTGCTTGAGAGGTCTCCGTTCGCTCCGTTCAGGGATGGCCCAGGCCCGGCAGCATACACGACTGAGCAGGCCTGGGCGATGTCGAATCAAGAACCTTCTCTTTTTGGTTTTAATGTGCCAGGAGTCCAAGCACGCCCTGAATAGCAACGGCTTCGGTTATGGGCCTCGACTACATGGACTGTCAGACGACAATGCGCCGGGCCCTGGATCCTACAGTTGGGACCTGAAGCCTTATGGTCCCAAGAAGCTTGCCTGACAGAAAATGTCGTTTTCGGCAGAGAGCTGAACCACTCGGACTTGGAGAGATCAGGGGACGGGGCAAAAGAAGCAACCCCCTCATACTACACAGAAGGCCCCCCTGCCGATGATCCGTCAAAAAGCAGGGCTGACAGGTCATTTCAGGAAATGCTTGGGTCGATGGCTTCAGCAGTCTAGGAGTTGAGGCCTCCGCCCAACTATATTCGCGGTGGTTGTGCTCAGGGCTCCGAGTGCATGCTGCCAAGGGGCGATGACTTGTAGTCTTACATCTGACTATCACGAACCAGTCGAACAACCCCATACAGAAACAAAGGGTCGGGAATGAAAGCAGCGCTTCAATTTCTTTGATCTTCAGTGCAAGCCGGCCTTCTCGCTGTTGGAAGCTACGTCGATATCGACCATGACATATTCATGGCTAAGGATTAGTATGACGCCCAGACGGGACTATGACACATGAGCTGCTGACAAAGATGCAGCGACCTTGAGTCGATATCAAGGGCCGTGAAGCAGGAAGACTGCTATGCCAGCCACGCAGTCGAGTCGGATAGGCAGAGACCATGGCAGCATAGGCTTCAGCTAAGCTGGTTTACAAGGGGCAAGGGCTAAGGGCTGGCACAAAGTTTATTTACCGAAAATCAGCTGCAGAATGCAGCTCCGAGATTTCACCGGCCGAAGCAGACCCATGATGTATGTCAGGAAGTCTTTTGGCCTTCTTCTCACCTTAATGCTTTTGGCAAAGAACTGCTAGAAGCCTGGGAACGACCCAGATAGCGCGTCATAAGGGTAGGGACATAAACTGCCAAAGACCCATTTTAGCTAGTGCGGCGCAGATGCAAAGAGAAGAACGGCTTTCTCTGGGATGAGAGCAGCTTTGAGAGTGAAAGTGTTGGACTTCTTCCATGCTTTCGCGGAGAGCAGCAGTGTTTGGCTCGGTTCTTGCCATCTGCTTTCCGCCGCAAGTCGCTCACTCAGGTTGGGGGTTGTAACAGGGGCCGCAGGGCGACATTGGTCACAATGCATGGACCACTACGAAAGAGTAGCCTTCCAGGTGATACAGGCTACATCAAGATGGCCGGCGGCTGTGCCACGTTTTGTGCGAATCCCTCAGTAGAGTTGTTTCGTTTGCTTCCGTGCGACGGCACGCCCGAATCCCCTTGCATTTTGCCTGCGCAGACGATCCTGTCTGCTGTGGCCGTTCCCGTTCTGATCTTCTTCGGCTTCCTTTGCTCCGTGGGGTGACTTGCCGGACCTTGGAAACTCTTGCTTTGGATGCCCTCAGCGTGCGGGGTGGACACTTCACAGGTCGCCGATGATGGAAATTCCAGAGGACCCCCGGAACGAGAATGGGCCATGATGGGCCATGCGGGAGAGGGCGTGTCCAAGCCGCCACGGCAGGATAAGAAGCCAGAGGCCGGACAAGGCTGCTACATGGCAGCGGCTCTGTATGCAGGGAACCCAGGGAACATAAACTCCAGGCTAACCAGAGGAGGGTTCCCGTGGACTCCGAGGCTGCTACGGGTCTCTATGCATATCAGAAGGCAAGCGAGGCAAGCCAGTCAAGGTCTGCGACTTTCTCACCGCAAGTGCGAAGCTTCGGACAGGCTGCCAAGTCATGAACGCCCCTCCGAAAAGTGAGCTCCGGTGACACGTGTACAAGAGCAGCATGTCACCGCTAGTGGTGACCCTCTTATTCTGCAGATTTTGTCCGTCCTCAGACGCAAAAAGGGAGGCAAACGGGAAAATCGAGCTTCACACACCCAGCATCTCAACTCGATCTAGGGCTCGCAGCTGCAAGTGCTTTTAGCCATTCCTATGAAGTTATTGTGATTCTCGGCTCGTGGACTCGCTTTTCAAAAGCTGCAAAAGGGACCGTTCAGTGAGGACGGCTCGAGGAGAGAACCCCACATGCCCCACGCTATCTTAAAGTCTGATCTTTTTAGTCAGATTCGACCTTCTTCCCCAGTGTAGGCCAGGCTCCGAGTTGAGAAAGACAGGGCCAGGGATGCTGGGCCAATGGCGTGCCGGGCTCGCGCGCAACTCTTGGGCCAGTGCCGGCCCTCTGACGTGCGTTCGCTGGACCAGCGCCTTGATCCGGCGTCGAAGGCAGGCCCTGCATCGTGCCATGGAGGATCCCAGCACCAACCCAGCCAAGGCCTCTCGGCATTCCTCCAGCTTTTGTTTTCAAGTTGTGCAGGCGGGCACAGGTGGGCAGAGGCTCGCACAGGCGGATGTAGGCAGCATCAATTGAAAGGTGCAAAAGCTGCGCGAGCGGGCCGCCAGGCCCTCCCACAGCATGTTGCGGTATTTGGCCGAGAACAAGATTGGCCGAGTACAGACGCAGGAAGATCGGAAGAAGCTTTGGTATGAGCACAGATATGTTCGGTATGCCCCCAGCTTCATCGGCCAACTGAAGCCGAAGATGCGACTTTGGACCGCAGCGCTGGAGGAGTCTCAGCTGCCCCTTGCACGGCTGCCAGAGATCGCTGTGTGTGGACGGTCGAATAGCGGCAAGTCCACACTCCTGAATTACCTCTGCGGCCAAGAGAGCGCCAATGTTCGAAGGTTTCCTGGTAGCACCACGGAGCTGGTTTTTTGGAAGGTGGGCCGCCCCGCACAGCTATGTCTAGTGGACCTGCCGGGCTATGGATATGCAGAGGCTTCCGAGGAGAAGCGTCTCCAATGGACAGAGTTCATGCTCTGGTACGTCAGGGCCCGCAAAAACTTGAAGCGTCTGCTTTTGCTGATCGATGCACGCCAGGGAGTGAAACCGGCAGACCGCGAAATGATCGCATACTTAGAACGGCACAGCGTCCCATGGCAGATCATTGTCACCAAATGCGACAAAGTTCCTGGCAAGGAAATCGCAAGACGGCTGACAATTTTGAAGGAAGATCTTGGCCAGTACCGGAGGATGGCTGGAGACCCTCTTCCGGTGAGTGCATTGAAACGACGAGGCATGGACTTGCTCCGTGACAGCTTGAACCAGATGAAAGTGGCAAAGGAGATGGTGAAAGAGGGTATTCGTCTCAAGGTCTACGACCTATTGGAGCAGAGGCGTATACGGAACCGAGAGCGCCGGCGCCGGAAAAGTGAGAAGAAAGCGGCGGCCGCCGCATCTGCAGCGGAGGCCGCTGAGGCGGCCCGGGCTGAGGCTGATGTGCCGAAGGAAGACACAGCAGAGACCGAGGATGCATTGGAGACTGACCTGCATCATCTTTTGGGGAACTGGGCTTCGTCAGCGCCGACCCGTGAAGACTCGCAGCAGAACCCGAGCATTTCCAAAGCTTTTTTCTCATTGGATGACCGAGACTCACGGCGAGTGGACTCGTTCATGTCTTCCCTATTTCCGGATTTGAAGCAACTGCGTGCTGTGGATGCCTCACCTGCCCAGGTCTCAGATGCATTCGGTGACCTCAACATGGGTTCACAGCTGCCAGGTCAGGAGACGGCTACTTTCGACGACCAGTCAACTTTTAGTGATGAGGAAGGTGAAGAAGACCTTGCCGACATCAAGCCTGAGGTGCGGCGCTTCGACTTTCACCACAATTCTGGTGAGACACCAAGGCCTTCAGGCAGTTCCCAAGGTCCATCCTGGTTCCCAGGCCTCGGACCTTCGTCAAGCACTTCGCGGGAGCGCGCCAAGCCGGCACACGAAGGCGCTGCAGTCGGCTTGAGGCGGGACAGGAGCCGACCGCGGGGAGACAAGGTGTACACCGAGGATGACTTCGCTTCACCTCAGGACTATGCAGCTGGCTTCAGACGTTGGGCGCCTGCAGCCCCCACAGGCAGGCTCTTGGCTTGCTGTGTGTCATGCCACAACCCTTCTTACGCACGAGAAGTAGCGATCCGGTTGGTATCTGAATTCACAACAAGAAACTACCCTATAGCCTTTTTGTGGGGATGGCAGAAGAAAAATAAAGAGAAGCCGTTTGTCAGGAGGGACTCCCGGGAAGCTCATGTCCGAGATCCGGCAGCGCTACGAGCGGGAGTGGTCCATGGAGCTGGAGGACGTCAGCCAGAGCGGCCGGGGAGCCCCGGACGCTTCGGAGCGGGAGCGACCAAACCGGGCGCGGGCTTCGACTTCGGAGGAGCCGAGACCCAAAAGGATGCCTTTCGTCACCCAGGAAGGCTTGAAGCCGATTCCCAAAGGCCATGGCAAACACAAGGTCTTCGGGAAGCCACCGGCCAGAATCCTCAAAATCAAGAGGCCGCTGGACGTTACGAAGGCCTTGAAGCTGAAGTCAAGGTACCGAACAGCGCGAAAGCGCAATACGGGCACGGGCTTGGACTGGGAGGACGCCCAGGAAAAGTGGGCGACATGGTACTCCAAGCACAAGCGAGACTGGCATCGAGTCAGCGAGGCAGATTCGCCCAAGAAGGAGGATGTGGATGCTGCATACGAGACGCTTCAGGAAAGGCGGAGGCAACGCGTGGCGAACCTGCGCCGGGCAAGGCACAAAGGAGGCCGTGCACGGGATGCAAATGCCCCGCGTGACGAAGCAGCCTTGCCTGAGTGGGCTGGCCGAGATGAGTGATTGCCTGCACAGCTGTGTGCTGCCTTCCCAAAAGAGTTCCGCAACTCGTAGCTCGACCCCTGCATGCATGACAGCTTGACTTGGTGATGATCAGCTCAGCCGCCAATGCCGGGGAGCCATTCTGCCCAAGCGGATCAGGTTCCTCCTGTCCAGCTCGAAGTGCAAGTCTTGCACTCAGGGTCAAAACTCTTCGAGTGTGATTGAGGTTGCGATCCGAACTGCCAAGAGACTGTGCAAGTTTGCCAAAGTTTGAGTGGAGTGCCGCACGCTTCATAGCAAGGTGTGAGAGACTTTGAAAGTAAGAGCTGTTGTAGCTCTGCTTCTGGGTGTTCCACAAACTCCTTGAACAAGGCGCGATATGATGTGCGATGTCGCCAACTCGCTGGATGTGAGCAGCAACCTGTGGCCGTCTGCGCTTGACGAGAGCAAGGCGCGGGCCATGGGGTGAGGGGTGTCCATCATCAATATCGGGCTGTTTTTGGTGTGCGTGTATGTATGTGTGTGACATCCTGGACAAAAGAGTTGCAATCTTGAGAAGCACGGGGTGCGGGGCACCGATGAGATTGGAACTGGCAAGCAGCGAAGACGCTCATCAGTTGCCTGTGATGCAGTGGGGAACGCTCTATAATACCGTGTGCGCCTCAATCAGATGAAGTCACCTGCATGATTGCACTCTGCAAAAAGGAAGTAATCTAAACAGCCAGCCTTGAATAGCTTGGGCTTTCTCGAGGGTCCATCGGAGTGTGTGTTGGTGCACGTGTCATGCCGTGTTTCTAAGGGACAGCTTATTCTGCGCAAAGCAGTTGTTCTATAAAGCAAATGGGGCCATTAGGAAGGGAGGACGGGAAGTACAGACGCAAGGAAGAAGGGCAGGAAGCACAAACAAAAACATAGAAGGACTCAGACAGAAGAAAGGCATCGAAGGAAGGGACGAATCGCAGGAAGCGCCACAGATGGACTGACGAAGGAAAGGAAGCAGGGAATGAACCATGGTTGGAATGAGTGGAAGGAATAAATAGGGTATATAATCGGCATGAACCAACGCAGGCATGCATGGAATCAATGGACTGGATGGATGGACGGATGGATGGTTGGGGGAATGAATGCATGACTGCATGCATGCGCGAATTAGTGGACGAAGCAAGGAATGGAATATGTTGGCATGGAAGGGAATAAAAAAAATGAACGAAAGAAAGAACGAGTCAATGCAACAAGCTATACGGCGTGACTGAATTGAGGACCGGGTTTGGAACTGACTGACTGACTGCCCTCCTGCCTGTGTGCCTGCCCGGCTGTTTGGCTGGCCGGCTGGCTTGCTGGCCGACCTGACTGACTGACTGACTGACTGACTGACTGAACCAACGAACGAACGAATGAACTTGCATGAACGGAACGAAGTGACTCGCATGAAAGAAGGCAGGAACGAACGAAGGCGCGCAGGGAGGACGGAAGGAGGGGAGGGAGGGAGAGACGCAGGGAGGGCATGGGGCAAACTGAACCTGACCGCGCTGGAAAAGAATGGAGTGAACTGAGAGAAGGGAATCAATGCAATGAGTGTGGGATGAATGGAACGAACAGACGGACGGATGGACGGACGGATGGATGGGATGGCTGGAATGGGCAGAACGGGTGTCATGACCGGAATACATGGAATGAACGGATGCATCGGCTGAACAGGAATGACAGGAATGGAACAGAATCGATGAATGAATGAATGAATGAAGGAAGGAAATGACATGAATGCTGAATACTTGGATGAATGGCACGAAGCGAATTGAAGGGGAATCAGTGACTGGAATGGAATGGACCGCGACTTTCCAACATCTCTATATCAGTTCACGAATGAAAATTATCCTTAAGCCATATGTATATGCATATATTTATATCTGTATCTATATATATATATATATACATACATACACTGGACTGGAATGAATGAGTGAACCAATGAATGAACGAATGAATGTGACTGCATGCATGCATGCGTGCGTGAATGCATAAATGAATTGAATGAAATGAAGTGAAACAAACGACTGAACGCAGGCATGCATGAAGGGATGGTTGCATGAATGAACGAATGTATGGAAATGGCCAGACGGACTGACTGGCTGGCTGACTTACTGACGTGAAGTGTAATGCCATGAAAGGCAACGCATTGAAATGAACGAAACGAATGATTTCAAGGAAGAGCAAAGAAGGAAGGAATAACATGGAATGGAGCTTTATGAGTAAGTGAATGAAACAAACAGTAAATGGAATGATTAAAATGGATGAAATGAGGGTGGAATCAGTGAAATGAACCCATGAATGAAAGGAACGGAGCAAAGAAACAATGAACTAATGAACGAATGCATGCATGGATTCATGAATGAATGAGCGAATGGATGAAATGGAGTGAACCGAAATCAAGTGAAAGAACGCGAATGAATAAATGAATCGGAGGAATGCATGCATGCATGGATGGACTCACTGACTGACTGGCTGGCTGACTGACTGACTTCACTGACTGACCGACCGACCGTCCGACTAAGACTGACTGGCTCACTGACTCACTGCCCTACTGACGCACTGAATGCATGGATTGAGGGAATGAATGAACGAACGAATGGACGTATGACCACGTGAACGGCTGAGGGCGTGAACGAGCGAACGAATGAATGCATGAGTTCATGCATGAATGAATACTTAGAAGGAATGTCATGAAAGGAAATAATGTGAAACGACGGGGGCGGAAAGGAAACGAAATTAAAGGATGAATGGCTGGATGGATGGATGAGTAAAAGAATCAATGAATGACCAAGCAATGCAATGATCGAGCTGACAGGTTGCTGATAGCACGTGCTTTTGGCATAGTTGTGTCGAGCCAATGTTATATGGCAGGGATTCTTGAAGATGTGCTGGAACAAACGCTGTAAGTCGGTGTATCTTGAGAAACGTTTCAGACTCACAAGATCGCCCCATGCAATGTGGCATGATTTGTTGTGGCGCTAATTGTGCTTGCGTGAAAGTGCTGGAGATTTACCAAGCCAGCTTGCAGAGAATTTCGATATGTTAAAAAGTGCTGGAGGCCTGGGCAGGCTACTCGAATGAGCCGATGAAGGCGCACCCTGCAGTCCTGTGCAGTCTAATCGGGTGCTGATTGATGCCAGGTGCCGCTGCCGCAATATGCGGAAGAGAAGCAATCCTCGTTAGGCTACGTCGCTGTCTGATGCGACTGTCAGACCCAACACCTTGTTTCAACGGCTCTTCTCGGCTTTACGCTAGGCCTGAGTGGCCGTCCTTCGCAAGTCTTCATTCCCATGTCCGGCCCGCGGCATGCACTCCTGGTGCTTTTTCTCGCCGGGAATGTGATTTCAGATGAGCTTGATCGCCTGGCCCATCGCGTACCTTCACTGAAGAAAAATTACTTGAGGCCGCAGTGCCCTGAGACGGGGAGAGTCCTTCGATTTCAGGACGCTTCAAAAAAGAGTAGGAGCTCTGCTCAGTCTTGGTATCGTGGGGCCCTGTCAGGACACTGTTGGCATGCGGGGGTCGCCGTCGGACCATTTTGATGCCACGGCCGACACTCCGGGATCTGCCGCTTGGCTAACGGGCTGTCGGTGGCTGCGTTTCTACTTCGTCCTTTGGTCATCTTGTGGCATCGCATCGCGTCGAGGTCGTTACCCGGGCAGGAAACAGGGTCTCCTTCCCCCCAGGCACGACGCCACATTAACTCTTTCCAGCGCTCTTTTGCGTGTGCTGTGTTCGCCCAGAGCGTGCAGTGCTGTTGTAGCACTGCTCTAGGATTGGACCCGCCAGTCAACGACCCAGATTGGCATTTGCAGCCGGGTTCCTTCAGCAAGTGCAAGCAGCGGAATCTCAGGTGAACACCCCAAGTCACGGATCCACGCTACATGCAGATGGGACTTGCGGCTTCTACGCAATGGTATCTTGATGTATCTTGTAGACCATTTGTGGCGCCATACCTGCGCCGAGGCAAACCTTGCGCATGGTTTTGGAAACCGGGCTCTTGCCAGAACGGAGCCTTTCTGGCAAAGGGCTTTCCTTTCGCATGCCGCAGTTACCGAAGGTAGCCTGCCTTGCCCAGGAAAGGACTGCATGCACTGCCACCTGTGCCCAAAAGATGAGCTCAAAACGAGGAAGAAAGCCAAGCAAGCTTCTGAGCGTGGGCAGTGGGCTCCCGTGAGTTTAGCTAGTTCAATGTGACGAGACCTAGGTCAGCCTTCATGCGACTGGGCGAGGGGGCCCAAAGGGCCTATGATGTCTCACATTTCCTCAGAGAACGGCTGACCCAGCGCAGGTTTGACAACCCCGAAGCCGACTGCCGAAGAAACGGCAGCTGTCCAGCTCGCCTTGAGTGCAGAGCCCAGGGGAAAGGGGACTTCGACTTTTTACTTTGCAGGCATCACGAGGCTGTCAGGCCGTCATGCTTCTCCGCACGGCTCAGGCAGTTTCTGCATGTCGCCGAAGGCCAAGGAGAAGGCCAACGCATGGTTGAAGAGACTGGGGAGAGGGTGTCAGAGAGTCCGGGGGGTGCAGGGAGTTTGGTGCATCAAGAGCTGAGTTTGCAGGCAGATTGCGAGACTTCTGAACAAGGTGGGCCAGGGCCGACTGCTTGAAAAGCGTGCTACGTTGCGTCGTAGCTCTGCGGGTGTCAGGCTCTACAGCTGCATCAACATCGGAGCGCGAATACTCCGAAGGATCTGCAAGCCCTCGACTCCCACCCGGACTCCCACCCGGGCTCCCCTCAGGCCTTCAATATGCTTTTCGCAAGCACATGCTGGGCAAATATACGTTGATCTTGCAGGTGCAACCGAGGCAGGCGTGCATGTATGATTGGCTGACTGGCTGACTGGCTGTGGTCTTGCTGCTGGCCCAGCTTGTTTTTCGCCCCTGGCAGACGAAGCTGGCCAGCCAGGGAAGTGACCTCCACGGTAGCGGTTCGCATCTCAGGTGAGAGCAAGAGGTACCCTCGAGACGCTGCGATTTGAGTCTTGAGAGCAAGAGGTAACTGCCGCCCCTGCGCCTGGTTCTGGAAGCCGACGGGGTGCCTGAACGGGGAGGAGTGCCGACACTGCCACATGTGTCCACCCGGCGAGGCCAGTAGGAAGGCACCAGTCACCAGTTGGCCATGCCAAAGGGTGCTTGATCTCAGGTGAAGAGCCGGAAGAAGAACAAGCTTGTCCGTGCCTCAGCGTGTTGATTTCATGGGACCGCGCTTCTGCGGCTCTGTCAGGCCATGCTGCGCCTGGGTCTGGCAACGCCGACGGCTACCAAGGAGGCCTGGCACCGAGTTCATGTCTCTCGGTTCTCGAGAACACGTCTATTTGGTGCGTCTTTTGAGGACTCCTTCTACATGGACTCGCCGACCCATGCGTGACCGTTGATAGTGGTCGAGGCTGAGAGCGCCAATCTGTCAGACGCTTCAAGCTCTTGGCCGCAAGCACTTCAGGCAGAAGATTGGAGCCTTCAGAAAGCGCCCAGGATCGCTGATCTGCAGAATTGCATGCACAGAGCTTCGCCAAGGGATGGTGCTTTTGCTATCATTGAATGGCGTGCTTGCACATGCCAAGCTGCATACATCTGCCTTAGTGGGGCACAAGCTGCATGCTTTTTCCCATGGCTGGACCGGAGGTACTCGCAGGCCACATGTGCCTTGTGATGTCTCGAGGTCTCGGCTTTTTGTTATTTCAAGCACGAGGATGCCGCTCTTGCAAGCATCCAAGCTCCACGCATCTGTACACACTCGCATCTCGATGATATCGCTGACAGGCAAAGCCAAGCAGCATGCAGTCCAAGACTGCTTTTCCATGCGACAGTTTATCGGCGGATCCCGCGAGATGTTTACGAAATCGCGCAGGCTGAAGTTGCGGCTGCATCTTTGTCCGACCAGAAAGCTCGAGTCATATGCAAAGAACGTTTCGGCAACAGATCTCAAGACAGTTTCCGGTAGTTGTCGCTGTCTCGACAGCCCTGACCTCTTGGGAACGTCACAAACAAGGCGGCTTTGTGAGACAACGGCTTGCAGCATTTGTTTAGAGTCTTCGTTTCCATATCGCATGGACCATGGCCACTGTGGTGATGGCCCCTTGCCGGTTTGGCCGCCAAGTGTTTGGCGCCAAGCTCAGCTTGGGTTCTGTGCTGGATGGTCAGCCTGTTGAAGACGCGAAGAAATCCCAAACGACAGGTGGAGTGATGCCGATGGCGCTCGGCGGCTCCAGTACTGGCAGGAGCAACTCGGACTACCACACTGGGCACCCTATCCATCACGTGGGAGTCCCTGAAGACTGACGAGTGAAGACTCAGACTCTTCTGATCTTTGGTTAGGTTGTTTTGTTTATCAGCCTAGACCCGCAGTCTTGCAGCTTCACCTTGGGCAGTCTCAAAACCAGTGTACTTCAAGCAGCACTCGACGGCCAGAGAGACCAGAGCTTCCGTGTAAACAGTAAACACCCTTCGGCCCTTTGGCCGCAGACCTCAAGGCGCTTTCTCTGGATATGAGTCCGATGACGAAGCCTTCTGCAGCAGCGAAGCAAGGAAGAGATCGTCGGTCAAGCGCCACAACAGTACATGAAGCCCTTGTGCAAGAGTGCCCGCAACAGCTGAACGGGTCTGCATTTCATGTTCTGCCTCAATCGAATGGCGCACTGCATGTATCCCACCCGAGACCTTCCATGCGATTTGAAGTCCTCCGTGTTCCCACTGTCCGATGCGATAAATTATGTATGTCTTTTTCACACGGATCTCGCGCAGTGCGGGGTGAGATCGGAAGCTTACACTGGGTCGAGTTGCTGTCAGACTTTTCAAATCTGAGACGACGTCTGAAGAGTCCTCGGGTTGCCACTGCAACTATACCGCCTCCCTAAAAGTAAGAGTCGAAACTACCCCTGCTACAGTGAAACCAGTGAAGCCTCAGGAGGGGCATTCCAGTTTTGACGTGTTTTTTTTTGGGGCCTTGGGGCGGCTTCGACTGCGCTGCAAGTGGCCCATGTTGCGCTGCTTTCGAAGATTGTCGAAATTCAGGGTTTGCTCCTTCGAATGAATGGAACCCAAGTGCACAAACCCGGCCCCGCAGCAGAAGAGCTGAGCTAGGGATTCCCCAAAAGGAAGCGCAGCTTGAGCGGGTTGCCACTCTTCACGCACGTGTGCAACGCAGCTGCTCAAGCAGAAACTGGGCTGCAGAGATCACACTCAGTCAGCTCTTCTCAGACCGTTCGCTGACGGCGCAGCCTCATCAAATCTCTCGTGTGTCAAGGTGCCCCTCACGCTCGACGAGCGTGTAGCAGACGTCTCGTACTTGGCTGGTGACCTAGAGCGCCGCCAACAAAGACCGCCAGTGTTGGCTGTGCACAGCGCATACAGGGCGGCGAAAGCATAAGCAAGGATTTGGACATGCGCGATGAGGAAGGCATGACCCCAGGCCGATTGCCGAAACATGAAAAGTCGCTGTCTTGCTGCCGGACATTGCGTGAGCTTGTCAGGTACAGGTACTTGGCTATGCGCACGTCGGGATCTACACAGGGCGGTGAGTTTCCTTGAAGCAGCTGTTGCATCAGGTGGAGAGCCTTCAGCAGCATCACATGTCATTGCAGCTGAGAGCTGTGGAGGGGAGGGACGAGAGAAGGTCAGGCTAGCTCGACTCAGGGCCAACTGCCGTGAGACTGCCCCCAGGTGGTACAGTGCTGGTGAACTGCTTTGCTGGGATGAACAGATCTGGCGCGATCCTTTTGGCCTGGCTTCTGCTACACCGGGAAGGTGACGGGAGCTTCGGGTTGCAAGTCTCTCTTTGGTAGGTGTACTTGCCCGCAACAAGGCCTCTGGGGCTTGGTGAAGTGCCGGCTGAGGACTTGTCTTGGATTCACAGCAGATGGTGCAACATCCCATCTGCGGAGCTTGGAGCCCTTTGCTCTGAACAATCAGAGCCTACTGGAATGTGCCTTGAGCTTGAAGGTGCCGAGGCCGCAACTGCGTGGTTCGGGAGCTGCAGATACAACACGCGACCCGTTACGATTCAGGACTGCCCGCGCCCACCATGCGGCACCCAGGACGTTCAGTCGAAACAGAAGATCGGCTCTTGCCTTGCGCCTTGCGGCTGTCTGAACGCTTGATCCAGCTATCCGGGTTCCTGGAAGGAGCACTGGATCCTGAGACTTCCAGAAAGGCCTGCTGCAGCTCCGGAAAAGCGGGTGGTCGAGGAATTTGAAGATTCCGAGGATCTCATGCCCTTGATTTGAGTCTTACCTGCGGGCCTGCAGCGAGATGAACCACCTAACGGCACGAAGCCTGGCTCCAACAGTACGTTCGACATTACCACCTCGGATACGTCAAGGAGGAGTCGGTAGCAGCTTGGCTGAGCAGCTGCGACGCGGTTCCCTCACGACTTCAGCGAGATCACCGTCTACTTGCGCCTAAGACTCTAGCAGCATTTGTCAAGGAAAAGCATGCAAGTTGTGCTGTTGAAAGGTGAGAGCTTGTAGTCTTCCTCTTGCAGCCCAAAGCCAGCATTACTAGTACTTTGCGGATGTGGTCTGGCTCAAACATTAGACAACACGCATGTGTTGCAGATTATGTGTTAGCGATGGTGGACCCAGCGAAAGAGCCGGGCAACTGGACTGAGCACACCCACAGCGATGGTCGACGGTACTACTACAACAAGGCCGGCAGAACTGCATGCTTCTGTGAACTTCTGCCTGTTTGCGGTGTGAACTGCGGAATTTGGTTTGCACAGTGGGGGCCCAGAATGTTCTAGTGACACAGGTCACGAAGCAGTCCAGTTGGGATAAGCCGGAGTGCTTGAAAAATGCCGATGAAAAGATGAACACCACCAGCTGGAAAGAGCCGCTCGGACAATGACTGTGCTGCCTGCATCATAATGCGCGAAAAGTGGGATGTGCAAGGTACAAGACGGCAGATGGACGGGACTACTACTACAATCCAATCACGAAGCAGAGCGCCACATCACTGCAATCAGCGGCTTGCCGTTCCTGGGCTGGACACATGGGACACTTGCACCAAGGTTTGGGAAATGCCTGCGGAGCTGAAGCGCTTGAGAGGGCTGGCCAAGGAGGACGAGAGTGACGACGCAGCCTGTTCGCAACGACTTGACATTGGAGTTGTCCTACGGCAATTGCAACGCCATTCTTCTTGTCCACCTGCATGTCCGTTACAAACTTGCTGCAGAGCAACTAAGGAAAAGGACAAGAAGCCAAACAAGCAGGAAGAGCCAGACTGGAAGACACCCGAAGATAGACGAAATGCATTCCGACAGGCCAACTCAGAGCAGCGGGTATGCAATGTTAGCAATCATAGCATGGCCTCGCAACCCTGACAGTTGCTCGAAGACAAGGGCATCAAGAGCAATATGAAATGGGAAGATGCCTTGAAGCTCATCCAGGAGCTGTGGAATCACTGACAGTGGATTGGTACACGTACTATAAATATGCTGGGTGTCGCTCTTCAGTTCCAGCTTTCAGCTTGCTCTGTTTCGAACCTTCAGGAAGACAGGAGATTCGGCGCTCTAGCGGCTGCCGGGGAAAGGAAGCAAGCTTTCGCTGAGTACATCACGCAGTCCAAGAAGCGAGAGAAGGAGGAGGAACGCGAAAAGAGGAAGAAAGCGAAGGATGACTTCATCGATGCTCTGACCGCCTGGAAGGATCTGAAGCTCACCACAAGATACAAAGATGCCGCCGAGCACTTCTACAACGAGGAGTGGTTCAAGCTGCTGGAGGAAGATGAGCGTGACTCGCCTGCTGGGCCCCAAACTCCAAAGTTAAAGACCCCTGATTGGGAGAGCGGCGCGCAGTCAAGCAATGCCCGAGACAACCAAGCCCGAGCCCTCTGAGCAGTTCGCCACACGTCTCAGAGTGCTGCATACACTGCCGAGGTGTTGAAGTCTTCGACGACTTCATGGACGAAAACGAGAAGAAAGCCAAGGAAGACAGGAGAAAGAAGCGGAAAGAGTATGTCGAGAAGATCAAGGCCCGACCCCAGCTATTGTCTTTCTTCCTTTTTCTCCTGTTGATCTGGCTTTCGGACCGTGCATGCTACACTGCTACAAATGCCAGGAAATCTATACGAAGGAAGAGAAGATCACCGTACTAAGTCGCTGGCGCGATGTGCAGGATGCCCTGCGTGACAACGAGTACTTCAAATGGCTCTCGAAGCTTGAGGCCTTAACCTCCTGGGAGGAGTGGGTTTTGGATACTGAGAAGGCCGAGCTGAAGGATAAGACCAAAGCGAAGTACCGTGCTGAGCGGAAAAACCGAGACGCCTTCAGAGAACTTCTCCGTCAGCATGGAAAAGAAGGCAAGATCACCTCGAGCACCTTCTGGGGGGACTATGCCGAGGAGCACGATGTCGTGAAGGACTCTCGGTACGTCGCCCTCATCGCTCAGCCCGGCTCCACACCGCACGACTTGTTCGACGACTACTTAGAGGAGCTTTCAGACAAGTTCTCGCAGGACTCAGGGCTTCAGGGGAAGGGCCGAAGGGAAGTGCAGTGAGAAGCCTTTGCACATGTCAGGACAAGACGAAGCTGAAGAAGCTAGCAAAGTCCAAGGGACTGACGATTACTCAGAGCTCCACCTGGGAATGGTTCAAGACCGAGCTCAAAGATGAAGCCGTTTTCAAAGACATACCTGAAGATCAGTGCAAGACCCACTTCGAAAGCCTGGTTTCAAAAGCAAAGGAAGTGGAGGAGGATGCGGACAAGGCCTCACAGGTTTAGGACCCTTCCCTCCGACTTGCAACGGCAGTGCCGAACATCAAGCCCGCAAGCGCTCATTAGCCCAGGTGGCCAAGAAGAATCGAAAGAAGTTCGTGGAGCTGCTGCAGAAGTCCAGGGAGATTACTGCCAAGACCAGCTACGAAAAGGCTGCGAAGCTGCTTGGCTCCAGCCCCGCCTGGGAGGCCATGGAAGATGCCACACGGCGACAGTGCTTCGACATATTTGTCGATCAGCTGAAGATCCAGTCCGGAGGTAAGGAGGAAGAGGAGGAGAAAGAGGAGGAAGAGGAGGAGGATGCCACCACCAAGAAGAAGGAGAAGAAGAAGGAGGGAAAGGCAACTAAGAAGAGGAAGCAGGAGGAAGATGAAGACAAAGAAAAAGAAAAAGAACCACCCAAAAAGGCCAAGAAAAAGAAGGACGATGAGGAAGAGGAGGGGGCAACCAAAAAGAAAGCACGCAAGAAAGGATGAGACTCAAAATGATTCATGTCGACTTGCAGCCAAAGGCTTACGCACAAACGGCTTCCACAACCAGCTCCTCCATGAGTCGCCGCCCCAGAGAGCAGCAAAAGGCTCTGTACAAAGCTGCGCTGAGCTTGAGCCCGACGCCGTCCTAGCACGATCCGCTCAGAGTCGGGCCGGTCCGGCAAAAAGTCCGAGCGTGCCAGGAACATGTTCTCCCATTCTGAGTTCCCCTGTGGTTACGGGCAGCGGTCTTACGTGGGCCATGTGTAGCCTCAGCCTGCTGGTGAGGCAGCAGTGTGCAACCTCTAAAGTCTCGCCTTTCTTGCAATCTTACCTCCAACAATGAGGCTTCTGTCTGTTGTCTAAAGTCTCCGAGTCTTGGAGAGGGTAAGGCCATGACTAATGCCGTGGTAGAGTGCTGGACAGGGTTGCAAGAAAGTTGCGGTGACAGGCAATCCCTCGGCGGGCTTGCCACAGGGTCTTGCGCGCATTCACAGATACTGTACGGGTTCAAACTGCGAGGGTTTGCAATGCCTAAACTCTTCAAGAGCACTTCGAGAGCCACGGCCAGAGCACAGAACCTCTAGACTCTACCCCTGAGCCATTGTCATTTCAGCTTTGTCCGTTGCAATCGCCTGGCCCGCAATGCTTGGCTGCCCATCTGGATTTCGTGCAAGGACACGTTGTGCCTAAGAGCAGCGCGTGGCGCGTCAGCTATGCCAGACTCGGATAATTTTTCTTTGAGTGGTCTGCTGGAAGAACTGGAACTCGAGATCGAAGACCGTGAAAAGTCTTTGGATCAGAAGCGAACCGCTCTGCAGACGGAGAAGTCGGCGAATGAACCGGTGGATGCCGTCATTCCTCCCAGCACGGCCACGGACGACTGGCAGTTTATGGGCCTTTTGGAGGGCTTGGAGGGCAGCTCGACGGCGGAGACATCCATGTCTCGGAGTAAGGACCGACAGCCCCTGGACGGAATGAAGCGAGAAACTCGGCAAACTGCCATCCAAGTTCCGCGGCCGTGGCCTGCGGATTGCCAGCTCGTGGCTTTCACTAGCCTGGCTTCAGATGCCAATTCTGCCTATAGAAGCTACATGGAGGATGGGTCAATTAGTCTTCACCCTTTTGAGCAAGGCGGCAGCTCCAGCGACCGCTGGGGCTTCTTTGCTGTCTACGACGGCCACGGTGGCCGTGAGGCGGTAGACTACTGCGAGATGCGTTTGCATGAGCAGGTCGCCCTTGAGATGAAATCGTCAAGTCCACTAGATGCTTTGCAAACGGCCTTCCAAAAGATCGACAGTCAGCTCGGCATGTATGGTGCTTGGAATCATGGCACCACTGCAACAGTTGTGTTGGTGCAGGCAACCAAGGCGGGGCGAAGCCTCCACGTTGCTCATGTCGGAGATTCGAGGGCCGTTCTGATTGAGAACATCGGCTGCTGCAGAAGCCTTACCAAGGACCATCGGCCAACAGATCCGGATGAGGCAAAGCGCGTGACTAAGGGCGGTGGGATCGTGTCTGGCGGGAGGGTCGGAGGTGATTTGGCCATTTCCCGATCGCTGGGAGACCATCGCTTGAAAGGCAAAGGGTTGAGCTGCACCCCGGACTTGTCAACCGTAAGTGTTGCCTCTGGGCATGCGCTGATCGTGGCGACGGATGGCCTATGGGATGTTGTCAGTGATGAGGATGCTTGCAGGATCGTGGAGAGGTCTGTTGAGCAAGCAGCCGGGGCACACAAGAATCCACCAGACGTTTCAGAATGGCTTCAGCAGCACACTTCGCAGGAGTTGGTTGACGAAGCAAAGCGGTTGGGGTCGAGAGACAATGTTCTGGTCCTTACGCTTTTCTTTTGAAATTCACCGCCGGCACCCTGCAAGAAGTGCTACATTAGTGCTTTTCGATGCCTGTCAACCTGGCGGGCTTGTTTCATCCACTCGAGCCTGGTCACGCACGCTCCGCATGCGAGCTTCTAGCAAATGACTGTAGCTTGCAGGCTTCTGAGTGTTTCGTCCACACCGTCGCTGCAAAGATTTCTTCGCATGAC